TGACCCTTGTGTGGGCTACGTGTGTCCTTTTGTTGTGGCAGGGTTGCTCCTGCTACAGGTGCCCAGGAAGGCTAGGCTGTCCCCCTGGCTGGCTGGTTGTAATGCTCAGCTGCATGTGGCTGCTATGGACCTTTCAGTCACTTTATCAGGTTTGGGGAGCCCCAGCACAGTTGGCTGCAAGGTCTAATAGCACACTCCTATTGCAGTTTTTCTAAGTGACTAGGCCCTTGGCATGCCTGGTTCCTAGGCTCAGGGCCTTACAATTGCTGTAGGCCTCTGGCCTGGAAGGCTGTTGTCAGCTTTCTCAGGATTGTAGTTGTATGGGGCTGGTCCCAGGCATGGGAGCACCTGATTGTTTCAGGCTTTGGAATGTGGGACCGATCCCCTAGTGGTTGTTTGAGAAGCACAAGTCTGCTGCAGCTGACAGGCCCCACTGCCCACAGGGCCACACATCCTTTCAACACAGTCCTGCCATGTGCATGCACCTCGACCCCTTGAAGCAGACCCAGTCACCCCACTGCAGAGGCAGCACACTCCACCAATGCCCCACACACTCCACCTGCTCCTCGTGCACGCCATGCCCTGCAGAGGCAGACCCACTCCCCTGCCTGCAGAGGATCCAGGCACCCGGCCTATGCAAGCCAAGAAGTTGCTGGAGGACTTTCTGTTGGGTGGGGCCAGTCCCTAGGGTGGGCCACTGGCCCTGGCTGAGCTGGGTTAAATTGGTGCTCTAGTTTGTGGGGCAGAGTCTGGGCTAATAGGCCAGGGGAAGAGCTCCAATGGTGCCTGTCAGCATCTGTGTCAGCATGCCGGTACTACATCACAATGTTAGCTACCACAAATGTCTTAGTCACTGGAGCGGTCTCACCTCTCACCAAGATGCTCCCAGAGCCTATCAGGTGAGTCTCTTTTCAGCAAAGGACTGTGCACCTTTGTTTGTGGTGATTTTAGGTTGCTTTCCAAAATGGGTGAATTTGTGCATAATTCACAAGAGCCAGCCTTTCCCCCCTTATGTCTGATAGCTTTCCTGGGGGTATTCCCCATTGTTGTTAATACTCAGCAAAGCCAGATATTATGAGACTTGTCTTGGTTGTGCTGAGTCCAAAGGATGCTTATAGTGGTGATGCTCCCCAGCTCAGGTCCCCTGCTCCTCCAGGGTAGGCTGTATACTTTAGGATTTCTCCTGGTCAGCCATGAAGCACTGTGGCTCACAGAGGTGGCTTTTTCTCTCTCAAGAAAGGTATTTCTACCTCTTCCACCTCAGTCAGCACTGTCCCTTTTTGTGGGGGTTCTTTTTATCCAGTTTCCATTTCTCTCTCAGGGGTAATTTTTCCAAGAGTGGTTGTAAATTTGTTGTGTCCATGAGAGAGAGTGAGTTCAGAGTCTGCCTATGCCACCATATTGACACCTCTCTCCTGATTCAGTTAGTTGGTTTCAAAATGATGAATCATGCACCAGCTAAGAATAAGCTGGTTTCCTGCTAGTACCAGTTATGAACTCTTGATAGTTCAGAATTGAGACTGACCCCTGACAGCATGAACTGTGCCCTCACCAAGCCCCCCACCCCACCCCACTGTAGGCAATGCTCTTCCTCCTCTCTATCTGGGAGCAAATTCTACCCAGTGGCACAGCCCACTGAAGACATGAGCCCAGTGATCAATAGCCGCAGCTGAGCATCCTCTGAGAGTCAGATCAGGTGTAGGGCCCTGAGCCAGAGAGGACAGAAAAGGTCAGAGCCATCTATGCAGCCAAGTATTTGGCAGGGAGGTGGCCGTCTGCACCCCTCTCTTCTTGTGGCACTAGTACTTCCTCTGAATGCTTTACTTCCCTGCCTCCCACCTCCAACCAAGTGGTTCTGGTGGGGCTGCTCATTATAGATCCCCTGCCCAGGAATGCCAAATGGAGTGCTTCCAGGGGAGAATTTGAACTGGAAGAAAGAAAAGAGCATCATCCCTTTCTTTCTTTTTTTTGATGAGAAAGATTGGCCCTGAGCCAACATCTATTGCCAACCTTCCTCCTTTTGCTTGAGGAAGATTTTCCCAGAGCTAACATCTGTGCCCACCTTCCTCTGTGTTGTATGTGGGATGCCACCACAGCATGGCTTGATGAGTGGTGTGTAGGTCCACACCCGAGATCCAAACCTGTGAACCCTGCGTCACTGAAGCAGAGTGTGTGAACTTAACCACTATGCCACTGGGCCGGCCACATCATCCCATTCTTCCTGGCAGCAACATTGGGAGGTGTGAGCTCAGAGATAACCTTTGTTCTAGCCTGGTGGAGAAAGCCATGTGGAGAAATGAGTTAAAGGGATTAGAGGCAGAAATAGAGTCCATGTTAATTGATTAGAAAATAATTATAAGATAATGCAGATACCAGTTGTATTAGTTTCCTATTGCTGCTGTAACAAATTAAGACAACTTACTGGCTTAAAACAACACTAATTTATTATCTTACAGTTCTGACTGTCAGGTGTCTGAGATGGGTCTTAAAGGCTACAGTCACGGTGGTGGGGGAACTGCGCTCCTTCTGGGGCTCTGGGGAGAATCTGTTTCCTTGCCTTTTCCAGCTTCTAGAGGCTGCCTGCACTCCTTGACTCCTAAGCCCTTCCTTCACCTTCGAAGTGCATTGCTCCCATATAGGGACTCTTGTGATTACATCGGGCCCACCTAGATAATCCAGAATTATCTCCCCATCTCAAGGTCATCTCAAGGTTGATTAGCAACCTTCATTCCACCTACAATCTAATTCCCTCTTGCCATGTAACACACATATTCATGGTTCTGGGGATCAGGATGTGTATATATTTGTGGGGCCATTATTCTGTCTAGCACATCAGTAGATGATGATAAAGCCCGAGTTAATATCCTTCATCTTGCAGAGGTATGGAGAAGGGGATGTGGAGGTTAAAATGGGCTCAATCGAATAGGGCTTCGAGGGCTGAAGCCATCCTTTATTCACAGGTGATCTCATGCTCCAACTGATCACATTTCTTTCCTCTATATGCACATTTTAAAACGTGCAGGCTTTTGTCATTCAGTTCCCCAGGCTGTAGAATCTTTCACATTTATACTAATTTCAAAGATCAGGATATTTTTTCTTTCTTATTTCCTAGCACCCCAAAATGTCATGATTCCTCCATCTACTGAAAGCTCTGCAGCCAGGCCTGAAATGTTCTTCTAGCCCTGAGATGTCCTTGCTCTGGGCCTGGTGTGTGCTCACAACCTCCTTAGCTGTTTAGGCTCATGCCCTCCAAACAGTGGGTATTCTGCCTGTTCTAAGTGGAACGATGTGGAAGCAAACCTGCATCCTGTAAAACTAAGATGAGGATGTCTGCTTTCCTTGTGTTCCGTGTTAACATGGCATCACCAGCCCCGTTGGTTTGTTCCTGATAGGTTTGTCTTGCTCCAAAGATGGTTTTCAAAATCCTCTGTTTTCTAACTCTTATGCACAAGCTTTGTTCATGAGAAGAGCTCTTTCCTACACTGTCTGGTAACATTTTCCCATTCTTTTGTATTTGTTCTTGGTTACATGTTCTTCCTCTTACATTGTGTGTGTGTCCTTCTTACAAGTTTTTTTTTTTTTTCTTTTTTTTGGCCTCCTAAGTAGCTGGACGAATTGAAGGAGGAGGAAGCCGCTTAACCCAGGACTCCCTAGCCCACTAGCAGGCACTCAACATGAAGCATTCCTTAAAAGAAAGCAGAGACCTGCTTACCAGATGCAGAAGATGCTCAGTAGACATAAGAACTGATATTCTTTGAGTGCTTACTCAGACACCATGCTCAGTGCTTTATGTGTATTATTTCTTTTAAACTTTCAACAACATTCAGCAGTATTAGCCTCATTCTACAGAAAGGAAACTGAGGCACGAAGAGGTTAAATAATTTGCCTAATGTCACAGAGCTTTAAAGTGACATGGTTAAGATTCAAATCCAGGCAGCCTCCCATATGCTCAACTGTCCCCTCTCCCCTCAGTAAAAAAAGAAGGTAGGAGAGGCACCGTCATCCATGCCACTTATGTCTTTCTCTACTCACAGCACTTGTGACAGCAAATGTTTCCACGTCAAGCAATTCTCCAGTTCTCTGTAGACACCAACTGAGTGTCCTACAGTTTAATTCATTCTGACACTAACAGCTTGGAGTTAGCGCAGGCCCCACAGGTTAAGGGATCAGTTCCACAAGACTGCTCCCCACTTCAGAAGCCGATTGTAAGTCTGGGCTTCCCGTATGTCTGACCAACTGGCTATAAGTCAGGAGTTCCCACAAGCCCCTCCTCTGCTTCAGTAACTTGTAGAAGGGCTTTCAGAACTCAGGAAGACACTTCCCTTACTATTATTTGCTTACTGTGAAGGATACACTCAGGAAGAGTCGAATGGAAGCGATGCATAGGGCAAGCTATGGGGAAGGGTGTCGGGCTGCCACACTCCCTCCGGGGGCACCACCTCCCAGCCCCTCAGTGTGTTAACCAACCTGCAAACTCTCTAAATCCGTTCCTTTAGGGGTTTTATGGGACTTCCATTACGTAGGCATGCTTGATTACATCACCGGCCCTTTGTGACTGAGCTCTATCTCAGCCCCTCTCCTCTCCCTGGAGGTCAGGGGTGGGCTGAAAGCGCCAACCCTCGAATCCCATGGTTGGTTCCTCTGTGACCCGCCCCATCCCGAAGCCACCTAGGGACCCATCAGGAGTCACTTGATTAGCATAAAGTCACACCTGGTTGAAAGCGGCTTCTTAAGAGTAAAAAAAGACGCTCCTCTCATCTCTATCACGCGGGAATCCCAAATGTTGTAGGAGCTCTGTGCCAGGAGCCAGGAACAAAGCCAAACAGGTATTTCTTATATCGCAACATCATTGTCACGTTCTGGGGTTCCAGGGGGATATGAGTTTTGGGGGGACACTATTCAACCCAGTACAACATCAAGACTAAAACATTCTTTAGGCCGGGTCAACAATGACGAATAAAAAATTGTTGCTTGTGTTTCCTTACTGCTTGACTCTGCAGGAAGAAACTTCCTCCTTTCCCAGCTCCCAGGATGAGATGACCACAACTCACTGTAGAAAATCCCCGCAGTTCTGCTGACAAGTGGAGTGCGTCAGAAGGTCCCCGGACAGCTTTGCTGGCTCGTCTGCTTCTGGTGCCACTTCCTGCTCTTCTTCATGAGAATTATTTGTAAGGAGACAGTCACATTAAAAAAAAAGATTCGATAAAATACACAGTCTCTCACAATCTTTATCCAAGGGACGCTAATTATAAATCATTCTATAAAATCTATGCTCTCACATCCCCATCCAGGGACCATCATCCTCGTGCCCTGCTTCCCTGCCACCGTTCTGACGTCCAGTGCTGACATCTGCCTGGATGTACGACTCTTCTCCTAATTGTCCCTGTTGCAAGCACGATCTGGCCCTTTCTCCCAAGATTCTATTACTCTGCATCACTAACTAGTACTTCCTTATAGTTCAGAATTAGAATCAGAGAAACATTTCTTCTCATGAAGTTCTTTACCTTTTCAGATCGAAAATTATCAGCAAGGAGAATCAAGAATTAGCCAAAGAAATTTATATTAAAAACCTCAAAAGTGTTTATGTCCTTTGACCTAGGAATCCCACTTTAGGAATTCACCCTAAGAAAACAATTAAGGCTGTCCACGGGGAATTCGCCATGACGATGCACCTCAGGGCATTGTTTGTAAGGGCAAAATATCAGAAACTACAGTAAGTGGTAACAGGCGTTTCATTACCTGTATTGTGGCTCTTTCATGGAATGGGCCGTCATGCAGATACTAACGTGTTGTTGAAGGAGAGAATTTATTGACCTGGAGTGAGGCCGTAGAGCTGCTTAAGTTTAAGAAGTACATGATTAAAAACCATATGACAGTGGGATCTCACTTTTAAGTAAAACTTAAGAGAGACTCTATTGGTGTAGACGCAGTCTGAAGGCATCATATCAGAAGCTTACGGTGCTTATCTCTGGGCTGTGAGATCAAGGGCAATTTTTGTCTTATCCTCTGGTTTGCCCACATTTTCTACAATGAACTGTTATTATTAAGTAATAACTTTAAAAGCACATTTAAAAAGAATGACTAAAACATTTCTAAATTCCCAAGTCTGTATGACAAGTAGTGTTGCAATGAGAAAACTGCGTCTTCCAGTTAAAGCAAAAGACAGCTGCCAGCAGCCGCTTCGTTACCGGACTCCGGCCTGCGGCTGCCTCTCCTCCCCACCCTGTGGCGCCGCAAGTGCAGGCTCAGGTTTGCTCTCAGAAGGCAATCCCGACCCCACTGAAGTGCCACCAGCGCAGCGGCGGGCTCCACAGGGCACACCCTGCCCACGCGCTCCGCCTCCCTCCCGGCGCCAGATTCCTCTTCCTTCTTTTATGCAGAGCAGTTCAGCCTGAGGTCTCACCCCCAGACTCATGTGAATCCTAACTCTGCCATTTACTCTGTGACCCTGAGCAAAATACTTACTCTCCCTCAGCCTCAGCTTCTTCATCCGTGGCATGGGGATGACAGTATGGTGGCGTGAGGGTTACGTGAAGTAGCTCGCACTGGGCGCTTACACAGTGCTCTCCACACAGTGTCAGCTGTCACAGTGCCGTCTTCTTCTCCCTTAGGCCACCAGAGCCAGTGCTTATGTGGCCATTCTTTTTGTCTCTGAGTCCCAGCAGAGACTCCAAAGCAGAGACTTGAACAGTTGGTGCCAGGGGTCTTACAATCTAAATGGAGGAACTGAACCACTTGTACAAGCCAGGGTAAGAGATGGTGAAGCTGGATTTGCCAGCATAGCCCTCCACCACCACTGGGCTGCGGAAGACGTGGCTGCGACGTGGGAAAGGTGGGAGAGGGTACTTAGGAGAAGATGCCTCAGCTGAGAGGTTTCTCCCGGAACTCAGAGCAAGGGACGGGTGCTTCCTTCTCACCTCAGGCCAAGTAAGAAGGATTCGAGGGCACCGATTGGTAGCATGGCATGTGTCTCCTAGAATTTGGCAAACACAGGATCTGGACTTTGACGTGGGCCTGGAGTGGAAAGGCGAGCAGCTGTGGCTGGTGCTGCCCCCGTGGCAGAGAGGAGAGCGGCCGAACCGGTTGCAAGTTGCACTTCCAGCAGGTTGGGGCTTTCTGGGGGCAGGATGCTGCGGACCCTTCGGAAGGCAGCTAGCCTGATGTCATCTTCCAAGAGGTCTGGTCCAGGGGGCTTCCTGGCAGGGTGCAGGGATGAGCAGAAAGGAGATTACTAGCTTCCTAGGCCCACTGTAACAGATCACTGCAAATTCAGTGACAAAACCCATAGATTTATTTTCTTCTAGTTCCGGAGGTCAGAAGCCTAAAAGGGGTTCACAGGGCTGCGTTTCTTCTAGAATCTCTGAGGGGGACTCCGTTTCCCTGTTTTTTCCAGCGTCTCCAGGCCACCCCCATTCCACAGCTTGGGGCCCTCTTCGGCCTTCAAGGCCAGGAGTGTTGCAGCTTCTGCTTATGTCCTCTCATCTCTCTGACTGCGACCCTCCTGCCTCCCTCTTGTAAGGACTCTTGTGACAACAGTGGGCCCACTCAGATGACCCAGGATAGTCTCTCCAACTCAAGATCCTTCACTTAACTGCATCTCCAGAGCCCCTGCTGCAGTGTAAGCTGACACGTTCACAGTGCCAGAGAGGATGAGGGTGCGGCCATCTTTGCGGCGCTGTCAGTCAGCCCAGCACAGCGGGACTGCGAGCAGCCAGCCTGTGGCTGAGGTTTAACCGGCCATCTGGAAGAGAGGCACTGCCTAAACCAAAGGAGAGGAATCCACAGAAGTGCCCCAAAAAGAGAGGGTGGGGGAGGGGGAGAGGACTAGCCGGTAACTGTACTTTGGGCATTTGAAGACACCAAACCCAGGTGACAACAGTAAGACACAAAAGGACCTAGTAAGACACAAAATGTGTCCCCTTTCCTTAATCTCTCCTGAATACATTTCTGGAAGGGCCAAAAATTCCATGTGGCAAGTAGGGGAAGAGGTGAACTAGGTGGTGGATTTTAATTATTAAAAAAATAGATCTTGTGACTGAAAAGCCCAGAAAACTACGGGACCTCCTTGAGATTTCATCCTGAGCTAGAAAAGAATGAATCAGAGTCCAGAGAGAGATCCTGAAGCGACAGAGGGAGATACAATGCCGTTGGTTTCTGCTCATACTTTCTCAACTCCAGTGTGTGTAATACACAGGCTATGTCTGTATATAGCTCTTAATTCGATGACTGGCCCAGGAGCCCCCTGAAGGCAAGAAATGGCCCCTCATCCTTCTTTCCTTCCAGTCAGCACTCTAGGCCGCATCACAGGAGGAATGGCCTTTAGCTGGTCAGGAACCACGTGCTTTTGGGAGATATGACCCAAGTCCATTGAAAAGCTTTCCACTTCTCTCTCCTGCTGATGCCAAGACTGTCCAGTTCCTGGAGTAATTTGCGCCTTCAGAAGCCACTAAGTGAAGAGCTGTGTGGGCCTCAGAATCCAGACTAAACCTGGCCCTGGTTGCTGCCATCAGCTCCCACTTGGTCTGACTTTGTCAGAAATGGGCTGCACTGTGGTGATAGTGAGCCATTGTGTGATAGTGAGCCATTCCAGCTTGTCGCCAGTGGGCAGAGAAATGACACCTTGAAATAATTCACATGATAAGCCAAGAGGCGCACATGTTCACACCTCTGCAGCTCCACCGGGCTCGGCCCCATGGAGGACGCTGCTGTCAGGAGCCCTGGGAGGCTGGAGAGGTCCGGGGGAGAATGCAGGGCCTGCAGCCAGACTCCCCGGGTTGGAACTCTGGTTTGTCACTTAATGCCTGTGTGATTTTGGGCAAGTTAATACCTGCTGGAGCCTGTTTCCTCTTCTGTTAAACAGAGAAACAAGTAAGATGATCCATATGAAACGCTCAGCACAGCGCCTGACACATAGTCAATACTCAAAATATGTAAGTTGTTATTGTTACTATTACTGGGGGAGTGAAAAATGTTCTGGACTGGGGATCAGGAGACGTGGGGTTCAATAACTAGTTGTGTGAAAACAATAGTTGGCATCTGCGAGCGCTTACAATGTACCAGACATCTGGTTAAGTATTGACATCGACCATCTCATTTAAGCCTCATGACTGTCCTAAGAGGTGGGGGCTTCCATTAGCCCGGACTTTGTGGACGAGGGAGCCGACTCACAGGGATGAGCAGCTTGCCCAGGGCCCCACGTGGCAAGGGCTCCGGGGCCCCAGCTCAGAACCAGAGCTGCACCCAGCCCGGCCCCTTCCCCTCCGAGACCACAACGCTGGTTTGGGTTTTCCAAGACACTGTCATATTTTTAAGGATATTTTCAGGTCTGAAATACTGATATTTCTGTGGGTGTGACACTTTTATTTTTGTCTTAATAAAACCCCTACTTTTTGAATCATTTACAACTTGAGATAAATCTAGAGAAGTATATGCTGCACTGCTGACATTTAAATTTGATCCTCACACAGCTTCTGTGTCACTCAGAGTAAAGTCTGCAGTCAATGGAGAGGGCTACAGCCCTCTCTGACCTTACCTCCTACCTCTTTCCCCTTTGTCTGCTTTGCTGGAGCTGTGCTGACATTGCTAGTCCTCAAATATGCCTCAGGGCCTTTGCACTGGCTGTTCCGGCTGCCTAGAGCACTCTTCCCCTAGATATCTGCATGGGCCTCTCTCACTGCCTTCAAGTGTTTGTTCAAATTGCGCCTTGTCCATGAGGCCTACGCCGACCACCTCACTTATAACAGCAACCAGTTCCCCAAGCCCCATCCTCTACGCTTCCCACACTCCAGGAGCATAGTACTCAACTCTTCTAACACGCTGTCCAGTTTATTTATTTGCTATGTTTATTTTTATGATACCCCCCTCATTTAAATGTCAACTCTATAAAAATTGGCCTGTTTTGTTCACTGGTATGTCCCAAGAGTTTAGGTCAGTGCCTGGCACATAGAGGCACTCAATAAACAATGCTTTGATGAGTTCCTAAGGAAAGATGACTTTCTACCTGCACTCCCCTCCTTGTCTAAAAACCTTCCAAGGCACCGTAGATTACAACTTGCTCACGGGGTAAGGGGCTCTGTGCGGTCCCATGCTCGTCTGCAGCCCCCCAGCCAGCCTGGGCCCACCCGCCTCTAGCGTGCACCCTGGCGGAGGCGCTTTAGATGGGGGAGGGGAGGAGGGGCATGACGTGAATCTGGAGGAGGTGCACCACA